CCCCAGCAATATCCAAGGGTCCCAGGTGCCACTCCTGCCCTTCCTTCCCCCCTGGCCCCTCTGTTGGAAGTCTCTGCCCCCCTTCTGTTGAGGATTGGAAACTCCCTACAAGCTGCTGGGAACACACAAAAAAGATGAACCTCCAAGATAAGAGCCTGTGATAAGAATTGATGTGATAACCCCACTCTCGTTGCAGGTTCTCAGCAGAGCCTGATTCACAGTGCCCAGAGCAGCTGTTCACACATGCAAAGGAGGAGGGGTGGCAAACACTGAAGGAGGAGAGATGGATCTCCCAAAAGAGCAAAGCAAAACACAAGGCCAAACGGCAAGTCCTGTGCTTGTCCAGAAAGGCCAGCAGCTCACGTCCAGGATCCTGGAACCAGATGGAGGGGTTCAGTTGGCAGATCCCTGTTGAGAAAGGGGATGGCTGCCTGGCCGTAGTGACAGGAACCATGGAGCAGGGAGGGGACAAATCCATTCAGCTCTCTGTGGGGCGGTCAACCTTGGGTACCTGCGGGATCCCTGGACATCACATTCTGGAAGGTTGTAGACAACCAGTGTCTTCCTCAAGGATTGACTCTGTTGTGGGAGAGACAGATAGAGGAGCAAGGCAGGTCTAAGGAAGCTACAGGATAACTGTCTTCAAATACTTGAGAACTCTGAGTGGAAGAGAAAGCAGCCTGGACCCATGTGACCCAGTGAAGGTCAGGCGGGGGCAGCCCAAATCTGGAGATGCCTCCTCCTCAGCCAGGTCCTGTCTTCACTCCCGCAATGCTCAGCCATATCCCAGTCGCCAGATCCACCCTCCCAGACCAAGAAATTCCTTACAAATCCTCAGCCCATTTCCCGATCCTGAGCACAGTGGATGTGACAGCAGGGGCTTGGGTTTAGAATCAAGAAGCCCCAAGTTCCAGCCCTGACCCTGCACCTTGCAGTGAATCTTTGGGTCACCTTGTACCAAGTCACAGCCTCTCCCAGTCTTGGATTTCCCTGTGGGTAAGCTGGGGAGGTTCCTCCCTGCCCCTTCCCTCATCCAGCCAGTGCTGCAACCTGCCTCCCGCACCAATGCCCCAGGGGATTAAATGAGCACCCAGGGGAGGATCTGCACTAAGTGCTCTGTTAGTGCATTAGGTGATGTGACTGCCAGGACCCATTCCCCCACCATCTCCGATCTTGGTTCAGGTCCCTGACATCTCAAACCTGACGTCAAACCCCCCAACCACAGCCCCATGGCTGGGTGGAGGATGGATGCTCCCAGACGAACAGCCGTGTCTTCCATCATCTGTGGGTACACGGTTTCCTTCAGTCAGCAGATCTTAGGGTACATAAAAAACCAGGGTATTGCCAATTCAGCACACTCTGTCCTGCCCATGTATGCACAGGGCTTCAGCTGGCAGGTGGGGCAACCTGACACCCAGCATCTCCCAGTAAGCCGACCAGGATCAGTGTGAGGAACCAGTGAGGGAGGCCCATGGGAAGGGCAGTTGCAAGGCAATGAAGCTCGCCAGTTCTAGTCCTTGCTCCTTTTTTTTTTTTAGTCCTTGCTCCTTGATGTAGAGTTATGTGACTTTTGGCAAACACCTTAGCTTTTCTGTGCTTTGGTTCCCTTACCTGGATAAGGGAGATTTAAGAGTTGTGGCTTTGCAGTCAGAAGCCCACATGTAGATCCCACCTCCACCATTTCTCTGCTGTGTGACCTTTACAAGTGTTCCAGCCTCTCTGTGCCTCAGCTTCTTTATCTGTGAAATGGGAGTAATAACAACAGCACCTGCCTCACAGGATGGTTATAAGGACTAAGTGGGTTTGTATATACAGTGTGCTAGAAAGAATGCCTGACTCAATAATTGCTTGCCCCAGGGTTTTTGGTTGAGTTTCTCCATAGCCAACTCAGGGACAAGGATTTAAATGCAAGTAGTCTATTCAGAAAATGACCCCAGCAAGCACCTACAAGGGAGTGGGAAACTGAGGTGGGGACACAGAAGAAACCAAAAGACGGTGGATAAATGATCCAGGTTTCTTCATAAGAAATGGGGCTTAATCCTGCTGGGCCTCTGGGAGACTGTAGAAGACCCACCCCTCTCAGCATCGTTTCCCCCAAGATCAAGAGGTTGGTCTGTCTGCAGTAGAAAGACAGGGAGCACAAGAGAACACAGTCCCAACAGTGACTGGCATACCAAGCTTTTCTGAAAAATTCAGGAGTGTCCCCGGGACCCCTGCACACCATTTATAATGACAACGACAAACTGAACCCAGGTGGAAGAGAGGGTTCTGGGCCCTTAGTTCACTTGATGCCTCCCCGTTTAGGGGCCTCCTTACCTGCTCTGAAAGATGTCTGTAAAGCATCGCCTGCTCTTACACCCCCTGGCAGGGATCTGAGATCACCCTCTGAAGTAGTTTAAGCAGACCCAGGATATGATCCAACTGGCATTTGAGAGTGGGCTCTGCAGCTCAGGATGGGAACTCGGGAAGCAGGGAGAACAGAAGGGCCCCTGGGGTAGGGCGGGTGATATGTAGTCTCCTACACAGCCCTGGTGTGGATCCCAGTGGCTAGCCATTACGGCCTCCAGGCTGGGGCAGGGAATTTAAGGAACTGAGAACTGGGGGTTGGAAGAGCTGGGCAAAGAAGGGACTGGGCTGCTTCTGCAGTGGGGAGCTGCACTGCTGGCCTGGGGAAAAGCCTTGCTGCATAGACTTCCTCAGTCCAGCAGCAAGGGGACCGGGGATGATGAGCCTGTGGGTGGAGCCTCTGAGAGTGGCCAAGAAGGCAGGGACTGACACAGGATTTCAGTGCAAGGGTGCAACTATTTCTGACGACTTGGAAGAATACTGGTGAAGCCATGCCATCATCCTACTGTCAAGCGAGTTTATGCTCCTCGGTTCTTTGTCTCGTCACAACAAAGATTTGGAGTGACGGACATTAAAGCCCCCTTGGGGTGTCACAGCTCTCAGGTCTTGGACAGACCATATTATAGCTCTTAGACAAATCAGTGTTACAGCTGTGTTACAGCTCCACTTTATTTAGAAGATAGCAGGAAAATCCATCTTCGAGGCATGAGGGCACGTGGATTCAAAGACGCGAAGAGAAGAGCATCCCATCGCGCGGGGTAGGAGAGGGAGAGAGAGAGAGAGAGAGAGAAAAAGCGCATGCACGCATGGGAGTGGGAGTGGGGGAGGGAGAGAGAGAGAGAGAGAGCGCCCTTTGGCTCCTCTTTTTTTCTCCCCCCATTTATTTTTATTAGTTGGAGGCTAATTACTTTACAATATTGTAGTGGTTTTTGTCATACATTCACATGAATGGCTCCTCTTTTTATATGTTTTTTTCTTCCCCCTGAGCCTGCCCTACGAAAAATGGGCTTAGTCAGGAGTGCTGTTCTACCTGAAGTCCTCACTCTGGTCCTCGGACCTTCCTTTGACCTTCTTTTGTTCTATTTTCGTGGGCTTTTCCCTTCCTTGTCTTTTAGCCACAGCCATTTTGGACTCCTTTTCCCTATTCTAACTACCTAACACTACCATTATGGGAGGTAATTTCAACAAGCTAACCTCACTGGGAGGCACTTTGAAAGCTGTGTGGCACCAGCCAAAGGGGGAGAGGTCTTAAGGGCTCCTCAGTCCTCTTTTTGGTCATCCAGGAACCTTGCTGGGTTTTGATCCTCCTTACCTCCTCTCCATTCGCCATCAAGACACCCAGGGCCCAATCTGACACTCTCACTCCTGCTCTAGTGTCAGGTCCACAGGGACACAGCAGGTGCGGGCTGTGCTCAGCACTGAAGCCCTTGGATGTCTGCCTGGCCTCTGAGCAGGCAGAGGCCTACTCTGGACAACTTCCCAGGCCTGTTCATAACTCCTTGGGTTCAAAACTAACGGTTTCTAAAAGAAGTTGCTGGGACAGAAGGGCAGGGCCCCTAGGACGCCTGAAGGCCATCCCCAGGCAATTCCAAAAATACACTGGAAAAGAGCTGGAAGGCATGTGGTTGGGCAAGTTCCAAGATGTTCTTCCTAAGAAAGGCAAGTGCTGTGAGTAACTCAAAGCCCACATCTGGGTCTCACACAAGAGGAGGGGAGGAGGCAGCCTCACACATTGGGGCGGGGACAACTATGTAGGCTGAAAGAAAGCTCAGAGATGATCCAACCTCTGTTTCTAGAATGGAGAGGATGTGCAGCATGGCTGAGCACGCAGGGGTGCCACAGGACAAAAAAGGTGGTACATTTCTCACCAGTCCCTTAACATTATGTGTAAAGCTGACAGTGTGGCAAAGGGAGAGCCGTAGATTTTATGCTTGAGCACAGAATGGGAGAAGAGAAAGCAAGGATTATACTTTCTTTTTTGGGGGGAGCACCACTCAGCATGAGGGATCTTAGTTCCCCTTCAGGGATGAGGGATGGAACTCACGCCCTCTGCAGTGGAAACTCTGAGTCTTAACCACTGGACCCAGGGAAGTTAGGTGTTATATTTAACACACAATTCAGGACTTAAGAAATTTCCCACTTCCAGGATCCGCCAGCTACCACTCACTCTGGCAGTCAGGGGTACCCCGATAGGACCAAACTAGTGCAAAAGCATCCACATTACAAATGAGAAAATCGAGGACCCCTGTCTAATTGCACAGGAGTGAGTTAGCGGTAAAGTTTCCATCCAGCCTTGCCTTCAGGTTCCCTGAATGTTTTCCCAATCCTCTTGTCTTACAAAAATGGGTCCCTCTCTTCTTTTTTCCGCCTGCACATTTTCTTTCCCAGGAGACCGGGTTCTTAGGAAAAGCAACTGCGGGTCTCAATCTGGAACTAGTCAATCACAAGTAAATGCGCCAAAGCGCTTTGCGCATGCACCTAGTGAACCTAGGCACCACCCCCCGCCCTCCACCCACTCCTCTTCACCCATTACCAACATGGCCTCTGCGGCAACACCCTCTCTTGCCAGGCACAGACGTGGCGACTTCTGACGTCATAGGACGGCGCCGGTAGTCCTGGAGGCTGCACGTGGGCTCGGAGTTGGTCCCGGAACCATGGATACGCCGCTGAGACGCAGCCGCCGGCTGGAAGGACTAAAGCCTGAATCTCCGGACAACCCCACCTCAGTTTTGCGGGTGAGACGGGCCCTTGTGGAGTTCGAGTCGAACCCAGAAGAAACGAGGGAGCCAGGGTCTCCACCGGGCCTGGGATCTCCCAGTAGTCAGCCGGAGACAAGCCCAGGATCATCCAGTCTGCGGAAGGGGCCAGCCTTAGGGTCCCCTCGAAAGCAGCCAGAGCTGGACTCAGGGTCCCCCCAGGGTCAGCGAGATCCAGGCCTGAATTTTCCCCAAAGTCAGCCGGAATCGAGTCCTGAATCCCACCTACTTCAGCCAAAGCCAGGTGAGGAATCACCAAAGTTCTCCCAGGACCAAGGAGAAGCGGACTCGGAGTTGCCCAAGAGTAAGGAAGAGCCGACCCCGGGGTCCCCTCGACGTCAGTTGCAGCAGGACTCAGGATCACTAGAGCCTTTCCCCGGTCAGAAAGCACCGGGTCCTGAGCCCTCGAAGCCACTGCAGGAGCTGACACCGCGGTCGCCCGGCTCCCCACGGGATCAGCATGAGCCGAGCAAGTCACCTGCAGCTGGGGAGCCGGCGAGAGAAGGCCCCGCGACAAAGAAGCGAGAAGGTTCTTCGGCCCAGGCCCCAACGTCCAAGAAGCCAAAGGAGGAGGTTCCTGTAATCCCGAAAGGGAAGCCCAAGTCTGGGCGGGTGTGGAAGGACCGCTCAAAGAAGAGGTGAAGTGGGGGACAACTGGGCAGTATTGGGGTTTTGTGTGGTGCTGGGGCCTGGGTGCAGTCTGGAGATAGGTCATGGGTTAAAGAGAGCTCACATCAGCGGGGAGTCACACAAATAGGTCATTATAACCCGAATGTGGTAAAATGCACCGAGATCTCAGGCAGGGGTGCCCTCAAAGGACCCCTGGATAGCAGCCTCATGTCTGTGTTCATTCAACACAATTTTATCCTTGTCTCCGCCCTCTCTAGAAATGGGGCAGAAGCAAGTGTACCAGCAAGGGAGGTCTTCATGGACCAACATCCATTACAGTTATTTGCCTTTTTTATAAAGGTGTTAATAAGCACCTAGTATAAAGGACGCTATTAAGCATTCTAGTACCTGTTGTCCAGGGAAAGGGCCTTTCAAATGGCATCTTGCCATTTAATCTGCCCATCAGCTCTCTGCAAACAGCAGGCATTAGGATTATCCTCATTTTACATATGAGGACCCCTTGGCTCAGGGAGGCTAAATGAGTGCTAGAGGCAGGACCTGAACACAGATCTGACTCCGAAGCCTGCGTGAAAGCCTTTTACGTATGCTCTGTAGATCCACCTTGCACTGGATTGCAGCCTTCTTTTTTTCTTTTAATTTTTTGTTGGAGTATAGTTGATTAACAGTGTTGTGTTAGTCTCACGTGTACAGCAAAGTGATTCAATTATACATATACCTGTATCCATTCTTTTCCAAATTCTTTCCCCATTTAGGTTGTGACATAATATTGAGCAGAGTTCCCTGTGCTATATAATAGGTCCTTGGGGCTGTCCATTTTAAATACTGCAGTGTGTACATGTCAATCCCAGACTCCCTAACTATCCCTTCTAAAGGGTAGGCATGACGTCACGTCTTTCTGTGCCGCAGGCAGTAAGTACTCTGTTAAATGCTTGTTGAATGAAGGAACAAAGAGGCTCAGCTGATTAAGGAAGTGTTTATGCTGCCAGTAAGGAGAGGTCCTGGGAAATCCCGTGGACAGAGGAGCCTGGCGGGCTACAGTCCATGAAGTCACACAAGAGTCAGACAAGACTTAGCAACTAAACAACAATAAAATCACCTGGCAGGCAGGAACTTGTGACCGTGAGGAACCACGGGGAAGGCAGTGATTTTAAGGAAGAAGCAGAAATTTACTAAGAATTGACTGTATATCATGCTTTGTGTGCTAGGCCTTTTGCAGATGTCATATTGCTGAATCTCCTGAAGCCCAAGGCAGTGGGAATTATTCCCCTCCCCCATTAAATGGAGAAGACTCTAAAACAGGGAGTAATTTCCTACAAGTCACCAATCAGAGACTTTGTGCTGTTGGAGAAGTGGGTGGTGGCACTGCCCCTCCACATCAATGCCAGCAGGTCCCAGAGAATGCTGGGACCAGTGATGGCCAGGCAGGACCAGATGAAAAGGCTGGTTCTGGTGGGAAGAGGGTGATGAGCAAGTTGAGTGTAGGAGCCTGGTATTTGGGAGGTGGAGGGGGAAAATGAGCTCGCTCAGCAAGAGGGGACTGCCTGCACCCATGAACAGGCTCAGCAGAGGATACCAAGAAGCGAGAGAAACAGGGTATTTTGTCCCAGCTCACTGCATAAAACCCTTCCTGACTTCCTGTTGTTTGCCTGGAGACGTGCTCCAGACTTCTTCTTCTCCGTCATCACTGAGCATCTCTCACACTGACCTCCCCTCCGTGTTCCCCTGTGGGTGATGCTTCCTCCCAGCTCAGGGCCTTTGCACATACTATTCTTCTATTGAAAGGCTGTCCCACTGGCCAATCCCTGCTCATCTCTCAGGGCTCAGCTTAAACATCGCTCCTTGGGAAAAGCCCTCTTTTTCCAACCCAACAAGGGTCAAATCCTCAAGCTATGTGTTGTCATTGTACCTTATACTTCTCTTTTGTTAACACCCCCACTTGCATAAATGTTTATTTAGTTCTGTGATTCTTGTGAGCTGCCAGCTTCCCCTCTAGACCAGAGGCTTCAGGAAAGTGGGGATTTACCTTTAATGGTTGGATTCCCCCAGAGCCCAGCACATGCTAGACACTGAGTTGAACAAACAGATGAATGAAAACAAAGGTAGTTCATTCATTTAACCAATTTACATAGCATCGAGCTAGGGTCTGGGGGTGAGCATGGCTGTAAATGAAACATTCTGGTTGTGAGAAACAGGTAACCAACACATAGTATGTCAGTAACAAGTAAAAGAGTGTGGGCCGTTGTCACAATGATCAGGGATAACTTCACTGCCCCGGGGATGTGAGCAGAGGCTTGAATGAACATATCAGAAAAGAGTATCCAGGCAAGGGGAACAGGAAGTCCAGAGGCAAGCCTGGGCTCCCATGATTGAGAAACAGTCCAGAGGCCTCATCAGTGGGCAATGGGGGCGCCGTAGGAGGAGAGTGGTCAGAGGGGTCATAGGGCCAGGTCACACGGGTCCTTGTAGGCACCTAAGTGCGCGACGGAGCCATGGGAAGTAGCCTGACCTCTGGGAGGACTGGAGTGGCCTGTGGAGGACAGACCATTCCGAGGGCAGGGGCGAGAGCGGGGAGACCAGTGAGGAAGCTGTGCGGTAGAATTAAAGCACCTTCAGAAGCTGCACCAGGCCTTCGGATAAGGGCCAAAAGGGCGGTGGGGTGGGTGTTTGGGATCTTTGAGGAAGCAGCTCTGGCAGTTGGTGAGTGAGCCCCAAGACTAAACGGTGGCGGGGTAGGGAGGCCAGCACCTGCTACAGGAGGTGTCCCAGCTGTGGCAGGTGGGGGTGGGGGGTTCAAGGGAGGCAGCCAAGGCTGGGAAGGCCCACCTCCCATGTCCAGGCCCAATGCCCCCTTCTGCCCAGTCCTCCCTGAGTGAGCCAGCTCCCATCTCTAAAGGGTGGATTCACTGAGCACCTACCATGTGCAGAGCACTGGGCTAAGTGCTTCTCGGGCCGAGAGCCACTAACCCTCCCACCACCCTTTGCAATGGCAATAGCTGTTGTCTCCAGACTCAGAGAGGCTGCCTGGCCCAATGTTACACAGGTAGTAAGTGGTGGATCCAGGCCTGCCTGCCTTCAATCTCCAGGTAAAAGCAGTGCTCTGAAACTGCACTGCCCCAGTGTCTTAGCCACCAGCCACCTGTGGCTGTTTAAATAGCTTACAGTTCAAGTTCAAAAATCAGTTCCCTGGTCATCAGCCACATTTCAGATGCTCTCCCTGATTGGCCAGCATAGATAAAGGGCGTCCCCACTGCTACAGAAGGGTCCCCTGACCGCTGCCCCGGGAGGATGCAGCACGAGTCCTGCCTGAGGCTCTGTGTGTCCAGCTCCCCTCGGCCTTGTCCCCTTCAGGGGCCTCATGCCCCAGTCTGAGATGCCTGGCTGTACGGGCAGGGAGGGAGTCCATGCAGCAGGCCCTGGGGAGGGGGAGAGGGAGCAGCGGGGGGTGTGCTGGGGTGGGACAGTCAGAACTGGGGAGGGGGGAATCGGGCTGAGGACGGACAAGCCTGGGGTCAGGGTCCAGGCTGTAGGGAGCAGGAAGGGGGAGAGATGAACTGGAAGAGCAGTTTTGAGCCTTCTGGGGAGTGGAAGTGAGGCCTCTGCGTGGTGCCCGCTGCAGCCTTCAGATCCCTGCTTCCTGTGACCACATGGGTTGTGATATAGTGGACGTGGATAAACAGGAGCTCTGGAAAGTCAAGAAATTATTGAGGGAGGTGGAAAGGCCACTACAAAAGGATCTGCTGAGAAGGAAAGAAGGCCCGTGGGACACCTGCACCCCAGGCTTCAAATCGTTCAGAGAAAAAGAAAAGGGAGGGGCATGGTTGCAGAAACCCCCAGGCCCACATCATCAGTCTAGGCAGCCCTCAGCATTTTCCTGGTCGTGCTCCTCGTTCCTTCTTGATCCTCAAAGTGTTTCTCCTTTTTCCTGGAAGATTTTACAGCGTATCCTACATAGGTCATCCAACCGCTAGATCCTGGTGGTGTTCTTACAGAGGTGATCTCGCTCCTCCTGTGACCTTGTCACTGTCACTCTCTAGAATATCCAGACTTCCCTGATGTTGCCTAGCTCCCACTCCGTATTCACATTTCCCCTGATGGGAAGAGAGACTCTGAATCACTGCAGGGGACTGTGAGCATTTGCATGTTCTGAGATGAAATGAGCACCTTGGTAGGGAGTGAACCCCATTCCAGAGGCGTCCACACCCAGGCCCCCTGCGCTTGGCCAGAGCAGTGGAGCTTGCTAGCAGAGGCCATTCGGCATGGACTCTTGATCACAGACTGCTCCTCAGGATCAGGGTGACCCAGAGCAATTATTTAACCTCTCTGAGCCTTGGTCAGCACCTCTGTAAAATGGAGAGAAAGGGAGTACCCACCTCAAGCACATAACCAGGGCTTCAAGAATGGCCTCGGGTGTGATCAGGGGCCCCGTCCTGCCCCAGGCCTGGACGGTCGACTGCCTGGGGAGCTGGCAGGTGGGGGAGGTGATTCTGACCGGGATCTGGGGGAGAAGGCCCGGAACTGAGAGGAGGGAGGGCACGGGGGCATCACACCGGCTCCTTGAACGCCCACTTCCCACATCCAGGTTCTCCCAGATGGTTCAGGACAAGCCCCTGCACACATCCTGGCAGCGGAAGATGAAGGACCGGCAGGAGAGGAAGCTGGCTAAGGACTTCGCCCGGCACCTGGAGGAGGAGAAGGAGCGGCGCCGGCAGGTGAGGGGCGGGCCAGGCAGGGGCTGAGCCGGTGTTGGCCGTAACAGGGGCAGGTGGGAAGAGGAGCTGTCCTCTAACCCAGAGACCTTGGGAAGACAGGGAGCCTGGCCAGAAGCAGAAGCGCAGTCCAGGACCCCAGGGTAGGGAAGCCCAGTGGAACATCAGATTTAGCCAGGGGCCTTATGTGAGCCCCAGGGATGGGAGGAGGCCCAGGATGCAGCCCTCTGAGCCCTCACTGGTGATCAGAGCATTCAGTGAGATGGGCTCAGGGGTCCCTGCCCTGGACCTGCTCTGATGGGAAGGGCTGACGAATCAGAGGCTCTATCCTGGGTGTTGTTGCCAGTGTACTCTGAGACACAGCTCCCACACATCAGCAGAGAGGGCTGCCTGCAGAATCCTCCAGCTCCTCCCTGACGCTCAACCCAAGGCCACAAATGTCCCGTTAGAGGTTCATGCCCAACCTCTTTAGTCTCCAGGAAGCGCCAGCAGGCAGCACCCAGAGAGAGGGAGGTGCTGGTGTTGGTTCACCAGGAGCAGAGTGATCAGTGGGACTTCACTCACCCAGGGGTCCCCAAAGAGTCAGACACCTTGCCTCCAGCTTGCGGTCCCTGCCCGCCCTCAAGGGGAGAGGTGGGCCAGTCACTCAAGTCATCCGTCCCCCGCCTTGAGTTGCCCCAGCTCAGCTCCTGTGGCAGAGACCCTGCAGATGGTGTGGCTGCCACCGTGTACCCGGGCCTTATCTAGCTTCCTGTGCGGCCCTGGCTCCCTCTTGGGCAAGACAGAACCTTCTTGTCACCATCCCCTTCAGAGGTGCCCCTGCCCAGCCCCCAGCCCAGACCTTCCCCAGCCTCCGGGAGCTCAAGTATCACTTCTCCTTTCTCTCCACGGGCCCAGGCTGCCCCTTCAGCCTTGAGTTGCCAAAGCCGAGAGGCCCCTGACCACACACAGCCTCGATGCCGCCATCCCTGCCCCGGGCCCACCAGGCACAGTAGTCAGCGTAGCCATTCCAGAGGAAGACTCCATCTCGATTCACCTTCTAAGTGTCCCCAATGGGCCGCTACTGTTCCAAGCTCTGTGTATGTATTCGTTCATTTAGTCCTCAAAGCAACCTCATGTAATCACATCTTCACTTTAAAGATAGGAGGTAGAGGCCCAGAGCTTAAACCACTTTACCAAAGTCACCCATTTAGGAAGTAGCAGAGTCAGGATTCAGACTGACCCAGATCGCTCTGGGGTCTCTTCTTTGCAGCCTTCGCCCTTCCTAGCCCTGCACTGGGGTGACCCTTGGAAAGCTAGCCCTCATCCTTGCCCTTGCATTCTAGGGGCTCGTGGACTTCAAGGAGGAGGGAGATGCTGAGAGGATGGAAATGAGGGGAAGGGCCAGCGATCCCTTCTCCCTGGGCGGCAGTTGATGAGGGGCGTGGTGCAAAGGACCACTGTCCACGTGAGCCTGAGCTTCCAGGTGGGGCACCACCCATGTCTTACACCTGATCAGGTGCCCACCTTCTCAGGTGGAGTCAGGAACTTCCTGCTACAGCAGGCCTCTGGGTGGTGGTCCCACGGGCACAGGGACAGTGTCCTCACTGGCTCTCTACCTCCACAGCACTAGGAGTAACTGGGAGCTGGGATAAGTGGCCCTTTGGCCCTCCTCCCTGGGAATTCTCTCAGCTCTCACTGCCTGGGAGACCAGGGCTGCCTCAGTGCCCAGACCCATACATACCTCCTTCCCCTTTGTGTCCAGGAGAAGAAGGAGCGCCGTGCGGAGAACCTGAGACGCCGCCTGGAGAATGAGCGGAAGGCGGAAATTGTCCAAGTGGTGAGTGTCGCCCTGCATGGGGGCGGGCTGGATGTCAGGTTCCAGACACCCTGGCGCCCCTCCCTCACGGCCCCCTGCTCGTGCCACAATCCCAGGTCCCCGCAGTGACCTCCCTTTCCTCGGGGAATGGGGTGGAGAGCCCAGCCACACTGATGCCCTCCCCTCAACCATCCCCAGATCCGAAACCCCGCCAAGCTCAAGCGGGCGAAGAAGAAGCAGCTGCGATCCATCGAGAAGCGGGACACACTGGCCCAGCTGCAGAAGCAGCCGCCACAGCGGCCGGCCACCAAAGTCTGAGCTTAGGACAGCCGAGGCCTTCGATGGCCAACCACCGTGTCACACACGGCAGCCCCCGGGCCACAGGCCACCCGCCTCCGCTGATCCGGCACTCCGGCTCTGTGGCTCCCAAACGGGCTCCACCTGAGCTGGGGCTCTGAGCCTTCGAGGGCCATCGGGCAGGTCTCTGTGGAGCAGACGGAGCCTGGAACTTCCATCCTGGAACAGAGACTGGAAGAAGGAAAAGGGTCAGCCCTCTCCTCCCCCCTACTCCCGACCATTGCCCTCTTCTCTCCAAGTGCCTTCAAACTGAGAAGAGTAATTTCTGCTTCCTCAGGGAGCTGAAGACTAGAGGGTGACTCCCCAGAAGTGTGGGCTCTGTCTCAGGGTCTTGGGTCCAACCCAGGCCAGGAGACCAGAAGTCAGGAATCCAGCTCCCCCCTGAACCTTTCCAAAGGCTGTTTTGGATCTGTCTGCAGCCCACTGACCCTGTCACCCAGCAGACTAAATCTCACTCCACCACACTTTGCAACACTTAAGGTTAAGATGGGGTGGGAGAGGCATTTTGGAGGGGGGGATAGTGTCTCTCTATCTCCCCTTTTCCTGTCCCAGACTCTGCAGAAGCCCCCAGAAATCTGATTAATTCATGCCATCCAGTCTTCAGCAAAAATCTTTATTGAACGCCTGCTGTGTACCAGCACAATTCTAGGTGGCAGAGAATACAGACAAAAGTCTGTAAAAAAAAGCTCCTTGAAAGCTTCAAGGAGCTTTCATTCTGATGGATAAAACATAACAAACAAGTAAAGTGTATTGTGTGTCAGATGGCGCCAAGTGCTGAGAGAAGCAAGGGAGCAGGCAGGAGGGAACGTGGGTGAGGCATCAGGATGGGATGTCTGTTCAGTCAGCTGTCCATCAACTGCTCCGTTTGCCTAGCGTGGGAATAAGTGAGTAAACACTGGGAGCCCAGCTGCAGGTGGTGGCACAGGGGGCCCTGAACCATGTCCCAGAAGTTTTTCACCCGGCTCTTCCATGGGTGTTCCATCAGCCAGATGTGTATTGCACCAGGCCTGGGATGTTGAGCTAAACAGACAGGATAGTGGAGGTGCTGTAGTAAGTTACCCCTCACACCTGCCAGCTGAGGGTCAGAGCTGCAGCCCCTGTGAGGTCAGGAGGTGACGGACCCACAGATCTAGGGGTTACCAGCATTGCCCGGAGAGCATCCCACGGAACTGAAGGCCGGCATATCAGGTGAGCTCAGAAAAAGGGCTGTGGTCTCGGAGGTTGCCAGGCACATTCAAACACTCCAGACCTCAGTGCAGATGCACATTGTACTTTAACTAGCCCAGGTTTCCCAAACATTTGACCATAGCACCCCTTGCTTTTGCCATTTGGGCAGTGCTGGGGCAGACAGATGGGGGCTCCCACGCAGCTACTATCTTAAGGACCTTGAGTATGGGGTGGGGGGTAGGGGGGCTCTTTCACATACTAACAGTAATTGAACAGGTAAATGCCAGTGGTTAGTATGCAGACCCTGTATGTTGGGCAGGTTATTTAACCTTCCTGCACTGCAACTTGCACATGGTATCAATAAAAAGTGGGGCTAATAGAACTTGACCCTCTTCCCCAGACTCAGATAAAACTTATATAGGTCAGTAAATGACAACTAAACGACCACAGTGAAAAGGTTAGCCCCCAACAGTGCTTCCCAAACCTTTCCTCTCACTTTCAGCTCCAAAACTACATGACTGGTTTAATGTAAAACTCGACCCCACCCATCACCTGCTAAAATAGCTCCAGGGAGATGTGTTCTGTGTATCCACTACCCTAGCTTGAGACGTCTTAGGGTTTTAGCCTTGCATTACTCTTGGGAGCTTGTTGGAAACACAGAATTTCAGTCCCACCCCCCTCCCCTACCCCTCCGCGCCAGCCCTCGGCTGGGCCAGCTCAACCAGACAGAATCCCTGGATGACTCCCGCGCAATGACGTTTGAGAAGCACTCTAACTTTTTTGAAAAGAATTCACTGAGTCACGTGGGGGAGCAATCGCTCCCAGCCCTTGCCTCCCGGGGAGAATGGAATGGTTCTGAGCCGGGTGATTCGGGTCCGTGCCTCCTACCCCGAGGTGGTGCTCAGCGCCCGGTTCAGGGGGCCCCGCTCGTCCTGGGATGGGGCGCGGTCCCTCTGCGGCGGTGCCGTGCGGTCGCCCAGTAGCCAGTCGAGCAGGCGCGCGGGCCAGAGCGCAGGCAGGCGGCGGCCGCTGCTCTCGGAGAAGGAGGAGGCCGAGGTGTTGGTGGAAGAGGCGCGGCGCCGGCGGCGGCTACTGCCCCCGGCGGCCAGATCGCTGTCGTCCACCAGCACGCTCTCCAGGACGCTCCGCAGAGAGCGCCGCAGCTTGCGCAGCACGTCGGGGCAGGTAAACACGTAGAGCAGCGGATTGATCACGCTGTTGATGAAGGCCAGGCTGGTGACGAAGGGCAGCCCGCGCCACACGAGCGGCCGCAGCGACGGGTTCGCGTGCGCCCGCGCCTCCATCACGCTGAACACGTGGTAGGGGCCCCAGCAGAGCGCGAAGGCCGCCACCACGGCCGCCACCAGGCGCACGAAGCGGTTGGACCGCCGGCGGCCGCGGTGGCGCAGCTGCGCGCTCACAGCCAAGTGGCTCGAGGCGATGATAGCCAGCGGCACAGCGAAGGCCAGCAGGAACTTGCTGACGGCCAGGGCCGTCTGGCGCGAGTCGCACGTGGCGTTGCGGTCCGGCCCGGGGCTCAGGAGCAGCACGTTGTAGTAGCACATGATGCGCCCGTCCAGCCGCGGGATGGTGTCCCGGAACACGAAGTAGGGCACGGTGTTGATCACGGCCAGGACCCAGAGCGCCAGGCAGACCTTGTGGGCAGCGGCCACCGTGCGGTGGTTCTGCGCCCACACGGGCCGCACCACCTGCAGGCAGCGGTCCAGGCTGATGGCGCTGAGCAGGAAGCCGCTGGCAAACATGTTGAGGAAGAAGATGGAGGAGTGTAGCTTGCAGAAGGTGGTGCCCAGCTTCCAGGAGTGGCCCACAGCCAGGAAGTAGGTGAAGAAGGGCAGGGAGGCGGTGGCCAGAAAGTCGGACAGGGCCAGGTGCAGCACCCAGGTGGTGACCACGGTCTGGCGCATGCGGCAGCCCACCACGAAGAGAATGAGTCCATTCTCCACCAGGCCCAGCAGCGAGGCCAGCCCGTGCAGCAGCACCGACACATGGTCCATGTAGCGGATGCTGGAGTTGCTGTGGCTTTGGAGGCGGCTCATCTGCTCCAGGAGGGGACAGAGCGGCTTCGTTGTGACGTTGGCCAACATGGTGGGCTCTGTGGCAGAAAGGAAGAGGCGCTGTGGGGGGCAGTTCTGGGCAATGGGGAACCCTGCCCAGGATATGGGACTGTGTCTAGGTCATAGGGTTGTTGGGAGAATTAAATGAATGAACAAATATATAAGCATTTCAGGGGCTGCCCTGGTGGCTCAGTGGTAAAGAACCCACCTGCCAGTGGGAGACATGGTTTCAATCCCTGGGCTGGGAAGATTCCCTGGAGAAGGAAATGGCAACCCACTCCAGTATTCTTGCCTGGGAAATCCCATGGACAGAGGAGCCTGGTGGGCTACAGTCCATGGGGTTGCAAAAGAGTTGGACACGACTTAGCGACTAAACAACAACAACAACCATATAAGCATTTCAAGCAAGAGTAAGCACGAAGTAAGCAGTATATCAATGGCATTGTGATTAAGTAGATAGCCTAAGATCAATTGGAGAAATAGGTACCAAGGTCAGGCCATGCAGGACTCCCTTTTCCCAATCTCCAGAGCACTGGGGCGTGAGTGAGGCTCCCCTAAAGGGCAGGAGGATTCAACTGGACTGGGGGATGGGACGGGAAGGAGTCCGTGGCCTTAAGGGGTGCCCTCCCCCCACCCACCCCCAGCACCCCCCAGACCTTGCCTTCCTGCAGATCTTCCTGCGGTCCTTCACTCCCACAGTGGTGGCTGGTTGGGTGTGTGGCTGCCAATAGTGGAAGCAACCCCCCCCCCCCGCTTTGATAGTTGAAGAGGAAATAAGATAAGAGCAGAGAGAGAGCTGGGCAGGAGGAACTACCAGATTTGGGCTCTGGAGGCCCATTAGGGTCAAAAGACCTCTCCCCTGCCCAGAGGTGGCCACAGGCGCTCTGCCAGTTCCAGGAAACCCAGCCTTTTTCATTCATTTATTCACTCACCCATACATTCATTCAACAGCGCTTTATGGAGCAACTACTTAGGTAAGCACTGGAGAAGCCAACCTCTGGCCAGGTGTGCAGACATCCCAGAAGTGCAGACCCACAGCCTCATCAAGAATCCAGGACCACCCAAAGTGGAGCCAGTGGAGATCAGTGAGGGCAGAGGAGGTCGGGATGGGAGGCTGCCTGCAGGAAGTCAGCAGGGTAGCAGGGGGAGGGAACTTGGATCGTCCTGGGCCCCCCACAACATGCTAGGAGCCATGGTAGGTCCTTTATCTAGGTGTTCTCGTGCTCACGGCTCTAGAAGAAAGGGGCTGGTACTTCTCTCCATCCCATTTTGCAGATGAGGACACTGAGACTCAAGTGTTTCCATCACTTGCCCAGAATTTCCCAAATAACACAGGCAGGTGGAGAAACAAGAGTTTAGCACTCAGCCTGCTATCATTCCTCTTCCTCTGAGCTCTAAGCATGAGGTGATGGAGGGAAAAAAGAAGGAAAGGCAAGGCAGGGTCAGGGGGATTGGTCTTCAGTATCCATCTTTCCACAGGAGACACTTTTGGCCAGGATGTGAAAATCTACACCCTTCTCTGGAGACCATGGTCCTTCATAGGATGAGGGCCCAGGATATCAAACTAGAATTTCCTTGACAGGTGAGGCACTTGGAGCTGGGGACCTGCAGGTATGGGGGAGGGGTGCTGTTGTCCCCGTGTGCTCCCTAGAACGCTCAAATTTCCCAAGTTCTAGAGACTGCAGAGAAATTACATTCACAATCACCCTGTGAGACCCC